CTAAAACCTCCACTAAGCCCTGAAGTTGAGTCTAATCTCGGGGCTGGGGGGGTTGTGGAGGCATAAGGGAGTTTCCGAAAATAGGGGACCCTAATATAGTACCCTAAATAGTAGGATCCTTATTATAAGGGCCCGAAGATAAGGTACCCTAATTTTGGGAAACTCCCATGTATGTGGGTAGTTGCCTAAATTAGGGTCCCTTTTAGGCTCTTTTTCATAAGGGTGCCGTACTATATTGGGGACCTGAAAAGGGACCCTAATTTAGAGAACTAAACATGTGTTAGATATGAAGTAATATTAGGAGTACTCTGCATTATTACGATTACTCGTCCTCTTGGCATGATTAGTAATATTGTTTGTGCAAATGGAATGATTGGTATCATCTGTACTTCTAGTGGGGCTTTGAAAGGTGTTCTACAGGTTCTGTGTGGTGTTCTGCGTGCTTTATGCAGGCTTGAGGTAGTTTGTTTAAGGGGGGAGGCTTATGAAGTACGACAACCTCAACTACCCTTTCCCCAGTCCGCATGCGAACTGCATGTGGCTTGGGGTTTGGGCTTGACAAAGCTTTTTCGACGCAAGATTCCGGTATCCTTTCAGATGCCGCGGTTTCCACTAGTCACCTTCATCCCTAAACCCTCACACCTCAAACCCGAATCACCCTAGTCCCTAAACCGTAACAACTTACACCCTAAACCCTCAACCCTAAACTTAAAGACCTTAAAACCCTAAACCCCAAAACCCCTAAGACCTTCCACCTTAAACCCCGAAACCCCTAAGACCTTAAAACCTTAAAACCCCAACCGTCTCTGGTGCTCTGGTGCCCTGGGAGCGCTGGTTCTCGAAAGAACCTTAAACCCTAAACCCTAAACCCCTAAACCCCTAAACCCCTAAACCCAAACCCCTAAACCCCTAAACCCCACCCTAAACCCCTAAACCCCTAAACCCTAAACCCCAGCAACCGCTGCAAGGCCCGGCGTGGGAAGAAGAAGCCCGAGGCTGCGAGCTGGGAGGCCTTCAAGGCGCCGGCTATAGAGGGTTTAGGGGTTAGGGCTTAGGGGTTTAGGGTTTAGGGGCATACAAAGAATACCAATACTAATAAGTACTAATAATACTAGTAGTTGTAAAAGTGATTATAGTGATAATCATAATAGCAAGAATAATATTGATATTAATATTAATAATACTAGTAAGACTAGTCATAATAGTAACAATGACAATAATTGCGGCTGAAGGATTTCGGGTAAGGATTTCGAGTTTTGATGCTAAACGTTTTACGGGTGTGGGCGTTTCGGTTAGGGGCGTGGCGACCTTTCAAAACTTTCTTATGATGAGGGGGAGTTGCGTAGCCTCCCGTGAAAGAGGCGGGGTGGTCAAGAAGTGGAATTGGGTCAGAGGCTTGTCGAAGCTCCAAGGTCTCGACGTGTTTGGACAAGGTCTTACAAGCGGCGAAGAGGTGTTTTGCTGAAGCGGCTAATATAGGGGCTTAAATAACTACTAATACTAGTTTTGGGATTGTTTATTATAACTATGTTGTAAAGGACTGCAAAACCCTATTCTAATCATTAAGGCCCCTACATTAGCCTTTCGAAACCATTGCATGTTGAAGATCAGCGTTCCTCTTGGTCGCCTGTCTGGTTAGTTCCCTAAATTAGGGTCCCGGTTCGGGTCCTTCTTATAAGGATGCCGTACTATGTTGGGGACCTAAAAGGGACCCTGATTTAGACAACTACCCACATGCAAATCCACAGGTCAAAGCGTGCTTCTGACATCACTACAGGGAGCGGTAGAGACAGCCATGTCTACCATGAAGAGGACGGTTTCAAAGTACAGCATAGAAAGGGAGGGCAGCACTTTGCCAGGCTGGCGACGAGGGCGAGGCTGAGCTGGCAAACTCTTTGGGTTGAGTGTAAGATCTCATCCGCTCGGTAGCCACACCGGCTCCTGACCTTCGTGGTTGCCCTCGGAGACTCTGAGAGCGATCCGATAGATCTAGTGCTCGCATCCATCGGGGGGCCCAATTCTGGCTGACATCCATCTCAATTTCATTGTCAGGCAGATGCTGCAGACCCAGACGGAGATGCTGACATGGAGGGAGCAGCGAAGGTTGGGTTCAAGGGCTTCCTATGGAGAACCTGCGCGGGCATTGTGTGATTACGTGTCGCAACTGGAGCGTAGGCGAAAGGTTAGCCGTTTCGGTAGTTGCGGGATCTTGGCCGTGGGTCCAGCGAGCCTTGGCAGGCTCCCAAGAAGCGCGGCCGGGCGGAAGGCAGAGTGGATTACAGTTCCACGGATTTGAAGAGCCGGCCGGCTTGCATAACCAGCCGCAACCACGCCGGAGACGGTGGAACCCGCGACGCATGGTTTGTCCAGTGTTTGTTTGAAGGTGCGGCACGGTCAGCAATGCCAGTAGCCCTGCGAACGGCAACTGCAACTGACTTGGCATAGTTGTCGTGTCCCAGTCCCAAAAAAGATTAGCTTCATCAGGCTTCAGCATCACCTGCCAGGCGCAACGAATGAGCCCCCCATGGCTGCAGCAGTGGCGCACAGCGCTGTGCAGGTGGACATGGCCGGAACTGGAGCTTTTCAGGCTGTACTTGAAGGATCAAGGCTTTGGCCAGTAATACGGAGGGTTTAGGGTTTAGGGTTGAATAAGCACCGACATTATTCCTTAGAGCTCCTGATTACAATTCTGCTACAGGTTTTCCCTGGAGCCCTATGGAAATTATGAAGGCCCTATATTGGGCCAGTACCCCAGATGGCGTTACCCTACTTACTAAGTCCGCTAATCCTTCTCACTTCCTCCTGTCAAGTAGTCGCCCCTGTTTACCCTACGCGAGCCAAGAAGATCTCCGGGCCCCTGATCGTTCAAGCAAGCCTCAAAGCCTAAAGTCCTACGGTTTTCTCATAAGAAGCTTTGTCAATCCTACACGAGATCTTATATGTACCCCACAAAGTCCTACAAAGACCTTGCAAGATTCGCCTAGACCTTCCAGTAAAGTCCAGCATCCAAGTCTGCTTCGAACAGGCCCTGCTCGATGCCTGGGAGGCAGAATCAGACAGCGAGGACGGCCAGGCAGAGTGGGTTTCACAGATGCGACCAAGTGTGGCATGGTCAAAGCAACTCTTCTGAGTCCCGAATCCCAGGCAGAAGTGAACGGGACAAGCGATGCAAACCATGCTGTTGCGTTATAGTACAGTTACAATTACAGCACAAAGCACTGCGGAAGCGGAAGCTCAGAGAACCGCCGTCACCGCACCTGCAGGGAAAGCGGGGCACACGAAGCAAAAGGAAGCGCGGCGACCTCGCGGTGCGCGGCTTAGAGATGTTTTCTTCTCTGACAACCACCATCCCGCTCTTTCTTGCGATGAGATATCCGAAGGCCGAAAGTTTATCGTCCCAAAGCGCCCCCCGAAATCCAAAGCCTTTCCCGAACCTCAAGCGCAAGAATTGGAAGAATACCCCAGTTTTAGCGGACAGATGAGGGCTCGCGGCGAGAAGCGTTTGGTCAGATTTCTGGACCTTGATACAATAATGATAACAGATGACGATGATGATTATGATGATGATACTGATGATGATCATGATGATGATAACAATAATAGCACTGTTCCGTTATAGTCCTTATGTTGGCCAAGGCTTCCACGTGGATCCAGGAGGACGGCGAGGTGCCCTTGGACTTCATGTCCGCCGATGCCGCGCACTCCGCCTGGGCCTCGCCCGACCTTTGTTCGTTGCTTTTCAGTTTGATACGGGTTATTTAGGGTTTAGGGTTCAGGGTTTAGGGTTTACGTCAATCCTGGAAACAGCAGGCCTACAAAGCTCGGCGGTGCAGACAGAAGCCCCAATTTCCCACTTTGCGCTGATGGCTAAGGTCCTCACGGTGCGGGCACCACCTTCTAAGCGCCTTCGTGGGACACAGGCCACCGGGGTTGCGACTTTTTTAAAGGTTCCCCAGAGAGCCCAATGTCCCTTGATTAAGGAATATACCTTAAATTATAGGTGCCTTAATATAGCTATATTGCTTAATTAAGGCGTATTGGGTTCTCTGGGCCTATTCTTGGAAGCACCTCAGCCATCCTCAGCCCATCTGAGAAGAGGTGTGGGGACTGGTGCAGGGTCCAGGCTTATCTGGGTCGCCAGTCTTGGGGGATTAGCTGGGGTTCAGCCCATGCAGTTGTGAGTGATTTGGACATGGCGCGGTTCCTGCCAAGGGCAAGACTGAGAAAGTAGCCAGGCGTTCAGCCGAGAGACTCCAATACCCCTTAAATGATAATATTAAGGCCCCCTATAATTTAAGGTATATTCCTTAATTAAGGGGTATTGGAGTCTCTAGGAGAAGCAATGCTTGTTGGGGTAGACTTCGCATAAACAATACCCAGACACTCCAATATCCCTGAATTAAGGAATATACCTTAAATCATATTAGGGGATCCTACCATAATTTAAGACATATTCCTTAATTAACGGACATTGGAGTCTGGGGGATACCTCGAGGTCGATTTTCCCCAGGGTTTGTTCGAACCTCCGCAACAGGTCAGAGATTACTTGGCCATCATCGCAAGTTTGACGCTCATCATTCAAAGCAGCAAGAAACAAGCAGAAGAAACGTGCGGTGATTTATTTTGTCCAGACACTCAGCTATGGAGACAAACAAAGAGAAAGGAACATCAAAAGAAGAAACAAAACAGATAACAACCGTCACATCTTGTGGGTACTGCGGCTACACCACCACCACTACTACCGCTGCAAGGACGGCTGCTCTTGCGGTCGCTGCTGCACTCGTAGTCTTTTTGGGGGCGACGCATGGATTAAAAAAATGTCGAAGTCCTGCGCAGGCATCGAGGCTGGAGGCAAAGCGGTTCAGGGGTGATCCCTGTACCGATAAGGGCTCCTTAGCGGTTCCTATAAGGGATCCATAAAGATGTTGGGAGTTCTGCACCATTCAAAAAGGTCACCCCGGCATGGTTCCAGCAAATCACGGCAAAGTCGGTTCGCACCAACCACACGGTTTTTGATACTCGCGAGGTCCGAGCGCAGGATTCGGCCTTGGAGTCAAAGTCCCGGCTCATCGATCCCAAACCCAGAGAACCCAATACCCCTTAATTAAGGAATATACCTTAAATTATAGGGGCCTTAATATTATCATTTAAGGTATATTCCTCAATTGAGGGGTATTGGGTTCTCTGGGAACATGATCAGGAAGAGACGAAGCATACCTCGATGAAGAAACGTCAATACTCTATTTCAGCGTTGTTTTCAAGGATAGCCTTTTCCCAAACGGAAAGCACGTGGTTCACCCCAGAAACATGCCCTAACGCAGGGTGAGTTCTCTACAACTTGCGCGATGCCCCTCCGAAGGGCAGCCAAGCACAGCCCTGCAAATCCGGAAAAGCTCCAAAAACACCTTTTTCTGCAGGTGGGGGCTGCTGGCGCCGAAAACAAGGCACCGCGTGTCCGATTGCTGAGATGGGTTTGGTCTGTCTTGCATATGCATTTGGGATGTCAAGCCAGAGACGTACGAAGATGATTCGGTTTTCATGCACGCACGCGTCCGATGGAGCATCAAGATGCGAGGCAGTCACCCCGTCGGACTATACTATATGACTATATAGAAGATGTACTGCATACTCTAGACCATAGAAGACCCTACAAGAAAAGCCATGTACAGACTACATGCTTCAAACCACATACTAATACAAACTATACCTAAATGGGAGTTTCCGAAAATCAGGGTACCTTATTTGGGGGTCCTTATAATAAGGATCCTACTATTTAGGGGACTATATTAGGGTCCCCCTATGTTTGGAAACCCCCAAATGTCCAATCTCTCCAGGCTCTCGCCTCAGAGTGGCCCTAAGCCGAACCGGGTTTAGGGTTTAGGGTTTAGGGTTACAGCCCCCTTTCGACGCTGACATGGGGGTTCCCAAAAACAGGGGACCCTAATATAGTACCCCAAATAGTAGGATCCCTATTATAAGGACCCCCAAATAAGGAACCCCCTATTTTCGGAAACCCGCACATGGGTTTAGGGTTTATGGTTCGGGGTTTGTAGGGGGAGTCGAGAAGATCAGGGACATCTTGCCTGGGGTCCTTACAATAAGAGTGGTATGATTTAGGCGTTACAAACCCCAAACCCTACCCTTTTCGTTTAGGCCGTAAACCCTAAACCCTCAACTCTAGCTCTGCGAAACTCCCACACACTCCCCGTTTGTCTCATATTACAACACCCCGCAATCCCGATTCTAAGAACAAAGGCCCCAAGATCAAACGAAGCATTCCCAGAGAACCCAATACCCCTTTAATTAGGGAATGGACCTTAAACTATAGGGCGCTTAATATTACCATTTAAGGTAGATTCCTTAAATCATAGGGGCCTTAATATTATGATTTAAGGTATATTCCTTAATTTCAGGGGTATTGGGCTCTCTGGGAGTTCCAAACCCTAAAACCCTGAAACCCTAAACCCTAAAACCCTAAAACCCTAAACCCTAAAACCCTAAACCCTAAAACCTTAAACCCTGATTAGGGGGCACTGGGCTCTCTGGGTTTTCCCGGTGTCAGATCGACGCCTTGCGCCGAAGCGGCCTCCGCTTCGCCGCGGACGGGCGCCTGGTCGTCGATGATGCCGCGGAGGCCCTGGGCCTGAGTTTAGGGTTTAGGGATTTAGAGATTAGGGAGTTTAGGGTTTAGGGTTTAGGGGTTTGGGGTTTAGGAGGTTTAGAGTTTAGGAGTTTAGGGTTTAGGGGTTTAGGGGTTTAGGAGTTTAGGGTTTAGGGGTTTAGGGTTTAGGGAATTAGGGGTTTAGGGTTTAAGGGGTTTAGGGGTTTAGGGTTTACTGGCCTGAGTCAGTAGACAGACCCAGAGACTCCAATACCCCTTAATATCTTGAACAGTCCAGCTACGATCAACACAGCACCGGCGTCCCCTAAACCCCAAAACCCAAAAAGCTTGCCCAGAGACTCCAATGTCCGTTAATTAAGGAATATACCTTAAATTATAGTAGGATCCCTAATATGACTTAAGGTATATTCCTTAATTAACGGACATTGGCGTCTCCGAGTAGACAGAGTTTTGGAGTAGCTCAGACTATAACAATACTAGGGATTGTAAGACGATACTCTTGGAAGTGCGATTTAGGCTTCTCGTTCCGGAAGTTTGAGTTTAGAAGGGCGGTCTAGTTTTTCTAGACTTGTCATAGGGTCCTTAGCCGTTCCTGAAGTTGGAGCTTCCTGACTTTAAGGTTTCATCGTTATTCTGTTTCATGCTGGGTTTGCAGCTTCTTGGAATTAAGAGTCTCTTTTGGAGGTGGTTCCTTACAATAAAGGTCCCACTCAAAGCCTGAGCCAGCACGTGCGTTTCCCAACTTATAACCTTACTTGCTAAGGCCCATGATCCTCCAAGTAGACCCAAAACCCTGAACCCCTCATGGATCCCTTTAAGGATCCCTTTGAGGAGCCCTATCTACCGAGCCGGATGAAGGATGTCTCGATTCACGGCGTCGTAGCACGATGCGAAGTGTATCCTAAAGCATGGGAGAAGTCACAGGTGTCGTGTTATTTCGGGTGTCATTGGGGCTACGGCACCTTTCGCATCAACTTCGCGTCTCCAGAGCGAGTCCCTGATGTAGCCAATGCCCCTTAAATAAGAAATATACCTTAAGCTATAGGGGCCTTACTATTATAATATACCTTAAGCTATAGGGGCCTTACTATTATAGTGTAAGGTATATCCCTTAATTAAGGGGTACTGGGCTCTCTGGGGATGGGCCAGGAGAAGGGCAAGGATGAAGCCCCGCAGTTCACGCACGGCACCGCTTCCAAGCCCAAAGCGCGGGGAGCTCGGATTCAGTGGGCGTGACTTGAGTTTGGGGGGCTGTTGGAAATTCAAATTCATCAGGTGAGAGGCGGCTTCTAGGAGTTTGTGCAAGCTTTCACAACCACTGTAAAAAACATTGGCCAGAAATCGTGTCTTCCTTCAAGGCTGTCTCAACTGGCAGCACAGCGCAAGGCGCGTGCTGAGGCAGGGCACTGCTATCGTGACTTGGAGAAGCGGTTGATAGATCCTCGAGAACTGGGGCCCCTAAACCCTAAGCCCTAAACCCTAAACCCTTAAACCCTTAGACCCTTAGACCTAAACCCTAAACCTGGGCAGATCACCTTGCATGCAATTCTCAATCGACTTCTGGTGGCCAGGCGAAAGCCCAGGCGAGAGCAGCAAGGCCGAAGCCGCGGGTCCACAATACTGGGGGCTTAGAAAGCTAGAATTGGGTGTTGGGGGGTATGTTATACTATACTCGTATTTGTAGTGAGGAACCGTAAGGTGAAGATGAAAATTCGGCCCTCGGGTGCTGGGAGATCCCAGAAACTGGAGATTGGGGAGTTTTGGACCCTGATGCCTTGAGCTTTCCACCAGTGCGGCCTCTGAGCCATCTTGGGAAGGCATCGATGCGTGAACGGTGGACGGGTTGGAGTTCGGTTGCCCCGGATTGCACAAAGTTGCAAACAAAACTTTCGATCCAGTGACAAGCTTCCTTAAGAAATCTTGGCGGCAATGCAGCTCCCTCGCCAGGCGGGGTGTGCACGTGATCAAGGGCATGGTCAGGCCCTCGGTCTCGGTGGCCTTGGATCCTCCCTGGACCTCTGGACTGATGGCTCGCTGATTGCGGCAGTCATCCACAACCTTGCCGTGTAGGCACGTGGAACAGATATCATGGCTGTGTCAGTGCTGTAGATCTATGTTTCGACATGATTCCCTGCATCATGCTGGAACCGTCGCGGCACCAACGTCTGCCAAAACCGTTCGGGGAGCACCTGCTTCGTGAGCCAACGAAGTTCCAATCACGATAACCGCCAAACTCTGCTGCCAAGAAATTTCAGTCTATGGCCAAGACATGCTTTCCAAAGCAGCTGCTGCATTTTGCGCTTTCGGAGCAGGAGAGAATCCTACCTGCTGCCGAGGAGTCTTACAAGCCCGGTCGCAAGAGAGCCCAGGGCGACGCCAAGCGAAAGGCCCGGCCGGAAAGCCGAGGGATGAAGGGCTTGAAGTAGTCATGATGTACACACACCAACACACAAAAAATGTAGCAACAAGACTGTCATTCGGCTTTTTAGAAAGTCACGCTTTTCTATTCGTTTAAGAGGCTTCAAGAAGACTCGGAGTCGGGAAGAGGCGGGTCCAAGGCTGCGCAAAGGTTTCCTTGGCGATGCGGGCGGGGTTTGTAACACAATAGAATACACTATACTAAATCATATATATATATATATATATATGTGTATACGACCTTGAGAAGAGAGTACCGGGGCTGACAGGGTGCCAAGCTGGAGCCCTTCGCCTACGTGCGCCTGAACCCGAAGGCAGGGCTCACCGACGGCTTGCGCTTGGGGCAGAGCTTTGGGGATCCTTGCGGCCTTGCGTTGGCTGAGGTGACCAAGGAGAAGTTCAAGACCAAGGCAACCGAAACCTTCTCGAAGGTCATCAAGGGAGCCAAGAAGGGAGTCCTGAAGGCCAGGCTTTTTGTAGAGCTTTTGCGGACTTCAGCCTGGGAGCACTAGGAATCACTCGCGAACACACGCCTCCATCGCGCCACGCCTCAAGGGAAAAAAGGCACGAGCCCGAGATCAGAAGATGAAGCAGGCCAAGGAGGTGAAGAAAAAGCCCGGGCCCCAGGAAAATTCTGAGTTTCGAGGATGTGCGGGGCCTGGGTCTTTGTGTGTGTGTGTTTGTCACGATGGAAAAGCTGCAAAGGAGGCCTCAACACAGCCCTCGACGTGCCTCGCGAGCGCCCAGGAAGCAAGCGCGCCGGCAGCAGGTGCGCAGGACGGCAGCACGCTGAGCTGCTGAACTCCGAAGCCGGACAGTCGGAAAGCAACCTTCAAGAACACGGAGATGTGTGAAAACTCGCCATGGCACTTTGGGACATGAACATGCCTTAGGGTTGATGGCCTGTTTCGAGTCCTGTTCAGCGCCCCTTGGGATGGGAATAAACGCAGAAGATGTTGCGCGTGGCTTCTGGCCGGCGGCATGCTCTGCCTCGCGTTGGCAGGATTAAGGAAGGAAGGAAGGAAGGACGTGCGACCTGTTGCCTTTATGCAGTGCTCATTGCAGAAGGACCCCCCGTGCCAGAAGCCACGGCGTTGTTCTAGAGAGGTAATAATACCTCTTGTATGTAGAAAGTTTTAGCTTGTGGACATCAGGAGAGCCGTCATAGGAGCCCCAACTCTGAGTCCACCTCTCTCTCCACGCGGCGCCAAAAAATAAGACCGCGGGGCTTTACATCTTCACTTTCGGGGGACGTGGCAGCGATCAAGGCCGTCGAGAGCAGGTTGCCCTTCAGCCTGGCCAAGTTTAGAAAGCCCTAAAAAAGGGGCTTGAAATAAATGACCTATACTATTTTGGTGGTCCCTTATTAGAATTGTAGTATAATGTACCCCAAAGCCCTGTTCTAATTATCAAGGCTCCTACATTAACTGGCGAAGACCTTCCATCGTGTGCCGCGTTTCACCGAGCACTCAACGGGTTCCAAGCGGCTGAGTCGCCTGGAGCCGCAAGGGAACCGTGGCGCTTAAGCAGGAATCAAAAGCTGGAGGCCCCGTGCTTGTGCTTTCGGGCTACCATTGCATCATGTGGCTTGGGAGCACGTTTCAATGTTCGATCTGTAGGTTTGAGTCTGTCATCATCGCAAACTAGACAAGGTTCTCGTCAAGGAACAGAGCTTAAGTGCGTAAAAGAAGCCTGGTATTTGTCCAACTGGGTGTGCATGTGTGTGTGTGTGTATGTGTGTGTCTATAATAGATGCCTACATATACATATATATATATATATATACATTTATTTATTTATTTAATTTATTTACTTACTTATCTTTATATTTATATTTATTTATGTGTATGTATACATATATGTATGTATGTATGTGTGTGTGCGTTACATCCGCATTCTGGTCACTTGCACTGGAGCTCTGGGTGCAGCGAGCATTTGCTTACATGCTGGTTGCTGGTTGCTGCCGTTCCAGACTGTGGTGAGAGTCTTGCAACCATTTGCCCAGCCCTTTTTTGGAATCCTCAGCAGACTCTGCCAGGAAAGGCAAGGCTGAAAAGGCTTCTGCCGACAAAGCGCAAAAGGGCAACAAGGCTGGCTTTCCTCCAGTGCAGAATACAGCCGGCGGTGATTTGTGGATTGGCAGCGGGAAGCTGGCTCGATAAAGCAAGCCTTGTGTTGGATGATCGTGCTGGAACGTTTCCGCAAGAGCCGGGTGTAGTGCGAGATCTGTTGTGCTGTCAGGCCTTGACGGGTCAGGTTGAGCTGAAGGACACCGACGGTCTTGTCCTAGATGTTCATCCGGCCTGCCAGCAAACAATGCGTGAGAGGTTCCAGAGACATTTTGCAAAGCACCTTGTTACAGAACTCAGCCTGCACATCGGGTGTCAAACTTGAGGTAATTCTTGCAATGCTTTCAAGACAGGATCGGGATTTCCAAGCTGACCATGTGCATCACTCGGTCAGGCTGTTGGCTTCAACCGGCAGGGTTTTGGCGCCTAACACAGGGCCCTGAATTTCTCAGATATACACCTGAATTTCTCAGATATACACCGCACAAAACTCGAGTCTTTTTACTGAGGCTTCTACGTCAACCCCACAGACAGCCCTGCATGAGGACTTCATGCACAGCCTGGCGACCAAGCATGGCAAGAAGCCGGATGAGTGCGACAAAGCACAAAGACATACATGCTGCCAGGGCAACTGTTGCGATGTTTCGAAACACCTAGCATTCAGAGCCCTGGGCGAGAATAGGCATTGTCAGGAACCACGTTCACACACAGTACCTGTGCCGCATCTAGGCCCTTGCCTTCCTCTCGACACGTCCCGGAACTGGAGGTACATCACTGCACGTTCGGAGCAAGACTGGGAGAAGCTTTTCGTGGCGGTCGCTGGTCGCATCTTCAACAAGCAGCTTGCATCAAGCCAATGCCAATGCATGTGTTAGTGGGCAGTTCTTTAAATTAGGATTCCTTTGTAGGTTCTCAAAGTGGTACGGCACCCTTATAACAAGGACCCCAAAAGGGACCCCAATCTACAGAACTACCCTAGTGTCTTTTGCGGTAGAGCCTTGGCCGGAACCCCTCTATGCTGAAACCAATCACTGCTCAAGAGCACAGAATAGCATAGTATAGCATAGTATAGTATAGCATACTCCCTCAACCCTAAACCCTAAACCCCAAACCCTAAACACCCTAAACGATATAGGGTTGGGGTTAGGCTTTAAGCCCTTGTCACCGTGGCCACGGGAGGCAGTCAGAGGAGCTTTGAGCGAACGCAGTCCGGCCACTTCCGACTTGCATATTCTTGAAGTATGAACGCTGTGAACATCCAGCATGCTGCAGCAAACTGTTGAGTAGACATCACAGCTCAAACTAAGTCACTAAGTCCTCGGCATCACCTGAAACTTTGTTTCTGAAGCATGCTCATATCAGGCATGACCTGCAGGCTTTGCATAGTTGCACGTGAATTTGAGAAGCACTGTTTGCAAGAGACGTGGGGACAACAGAGGATCATGATACCTGGCACGGCGACTTGTTCCTTGGTGTAAACAAGGCCAGTTTACTTCGGTCATGATGCCGAGGTATCATGGACCTAGCCCCTTTGCGTAAAAGACTTGAGAAGCGAGCGGGCCAAGTGCTTGCGAGCTTTCACCATGCATGGAACCAGAGACCAAAAGCTGCTTGTGCCATCCTGGGCGAGGCGTGAAAGGCAGATGGTGTGAATCCTAATCCCGCTTCGGTGAACACAGGGCATGTAGACAAGGCAAGGATTTCTGCTTGTTACTTGTAGTGCCAAAAGCTCTGGGCTGCTTGAACCCAGGTTAGGCAGTTGCCACCAAAGCCCTTTGGATGTGGCTCTTGAGCCTTAGCCATGCCTCCTGCTGGACAAAACGGCCACCTGCTCACGCGTCTGGCTCAAGGATGAGCCTACAGCATGCACGTGCTGTCCAAGCTGCAGCCTCTGCTTTTCTCGCATTACTTCCGATGCGCTTAGAGGCCTGAACCTGCAGCTCACCTTGTACACAGGAGTTTTCAAGTGTGCAACATAACTCGAAAGCGATGTCTTCCCAGAGATCTCAGCGCCGCTGCCGGCAGCTGGCTGCAGTGCCTCTGCATGGTTCCGTGGGTTTTCTCTGTCCGGGCTCTGGGAGGCGGGTGATCCGAGTACTGGTCCCTCTCGCGGCAAGGTTCACGTGTCAGGTGCTACCAATCCCATACGCCTCTGTACTTCCCTCCGACATGGATAGGCAAACGGCATAGAATCCCGTGACCCGCTCAGCCAGAACGGTTCCCAAGCCACTTTCAAGGTGGTTCTGAGTCTCCTCACTTTTCGCGCCTTCGTGGCGCCTGCATCCAGACGATCGATCTTGGAGCCTTCCAGGGCCCAAGCCACACAGGCCAGGTCTGGGAAGCGTCCAGGGAGTTCCATGTCTTGGGAGGCGGGTGGGACAAGTACTGCGTAGCTTGAGTTCCTGAAGTTCAGGAGCTTTCTCAGGTTGGGGTGTCGGCCGGTTCTTGTAGCCAGCAGCAACTGAGCCGTAAGCTGCACAAGCTGGCAGGTCCTGGACCGTGTGGAGATTCCCGACAGTTTTCCAGATGCCAATCCACAAGGAATCGAGAATCGGTACTGGCAGTGGCGCGGGCAGCGCACCCCAGCCTGCAATAACGAGTGACCATGTTGTGTTAACTATCTTCTTTATTGCTGTGTTGCACGAAACGCTGGTTATCTCTGTCGTGTTTTTGCTGTCGCAATCCTCGGTGTTAAGCTGAGGAACGAACCATTGCTCGTCAAAGCACGTGCCGTTAACTCTCGGCCTCATGTTCTCGCTCAGTCCGGACTCCCTGGTGTGAAATAACCATGGGAAAGGATTGGGGAACTCAAAACTTACAGGAGCACACACTGTCCGAAGCAATCCTGGCACTGGCAAGGAGCTGCTGATGATTCGATCTTTGCCTAGCAAGAAGATTGATGGTTGTGAGCCACAGAGTAGAAGTCCCGAGTCGATTGCGAAGCCGTAACCAAAACGGCCCAGAGATGCGAACCGAAGCCGGAAAGCAGAAGAATGGATTGCTTCCAAGCCGAAGCTCCAACCCTATAACCCTATAACCCTAAACCCTAAACCCTATATAACCCTAAGCCCCACAACCCTCAGCCTTAAACCCCAGAGGCAGAGGAGGCGGGCCCTCCTCGGCAAAGCCGAGCCTCCAGCCTTTTTTTGGTATCCCCGCATATGACTTCCGGAGAAAGTGGGCCATAAGGACGTTGCATACAAGGCCCCTACACCTCAAGAGTCGTGATTTGAGATGAAGAATCAGAGCCCCGGCCGGCTTTCTGTGAAACATCGGGAGACCATGAGAAGATTGGAAGCGGACTGGGACCGAAACCCGGGAGCTGCTCCTAAGCAATCAGTTGAATCAAGACAAAACGGACCTATTCGTCTCTGTTGGAGTCCTTGCATCAGTTGGATTGGGAGGAATCGATGCCCTAGCTTCACTCCCAGCCGTGCCGCCCAGGCATTCGCTACCAGTTTGCAGGCGAGGACAACGATGGGCCAAGCGTTCTCTTGGTCCATGGCCTGCTCTCTGGCTCGAGTTAAAAGGATCCCAGAGGTTTTTTGAGTCGTATTGAGGGATCCCCTTCCAGGGCTCTGGCATGTGGACATTGCTTGAGTGTTGGGGTGCCTGGTGTGAACTGGGCTGCAGCTTCGGTCAGTGGTGTGCTTTGACTCCCAAATCCAAAACCCCTGAAACAAAGAAGTCGCAAATCCCAAACCTAAACCCCACGTTCCAGGTTTGTCAATGCAGATCACTGGCGAAAGAATCTTCCGGCACTCGCCAAAGCCGGCTTCCGGGTGTTTGCCATAGACCTGCTCGGCTCTGGCTACAGCTCCCTGGCTGCGTCTCGGGGCTTCAGGCGCTGTGAACGCGAGCATTTGGCCTTGAAGTGGTTGGAAGTGTTGTGTTCCCAGAGAACCCAATACCCCTTAATTAAGGAATATACCTTAAGTTATAGGGGCCTTAATATTATCATTAAAGGTCTATTCCTTAATTAAGGTGTATTGGGATCTCCGGGTTTGGCTTTTTGAGGTTCGAAGCCGGCGCCGTGCAGCGAGGAAGGTCGTGCTATCAACGGCGAGAATGGCCGAAGGCAACATTGAAGCAAGTTGCTTCAGGTTCGGGAGAAAGCAGAATGTCTTCTCACCGACATATGCAGTTCTTGTTCGCTCAGCATGTGTCCAACAATGAACAGCATCTGGAAAAGTCAAGCCAGAGCATCCAGAGCAGTTGTGAACGGCTAGAGCAGACCAGTTATCACGACATGTCTCTTCCAGACAAGAGTCCATGGTCCCTGTTCGTTCTCGTGATGGACACTCTGCGGGTGAATCACTTGCGCAGATCAGGTAGCTCCCCCATCCAAGATGCCCCCAAACCCTAGACCCATTCAAAGCCTGAAACGCTGAAGATGCCATGTCTGAGCCCAAAACCCCCCAAACCCTTTACTTCACGTCTGAACTCCGAGTTTGGATGCGCCATTAGTCGACCTCGTTGATGCCTCGGGCAACGAACGGGGCCCGATCCCAGTGCCGCAGAAGCACCCCTTGGGATCTGCAGCTTGGATACATTCGCGGTTGCTGGATGTGAGGCTTGGGCAATGGAAGCCACGATTTGAGGCTTTAAGCTTCCACACCTAGCCGAGAGCTTGCCATTCCCGCTTTCGAACCTCTCTTGGAGAGCTCACCGATTGGTGCCGGATCAAGGCTTTCGGCCACCATGGTGTCTGAAATGTCGACAACTCCAGAGAACAACAACAGGTCAACGGCTCCAGGTTATTGTTTCCAAATGTCTTGGCCACTCTGCTTCCCGCTTTCAGCCTAGGTCTACAACTTCTTCACGTGGAGCGAGCAGATTCGAGATTTCACGAGGGATATCATCGGAGCACCGGCTGGCGGTCCCTCATCTAATGTAGTGATTGCTTTTTGTTTGCTTAATGTAGGAGCCTTAACAATTACCTACAGTATTTGTTGGGGCTTCCTCATGATACCTTCCGTAGCCCTCTTCACGCGCGCTTAGCGCTATGTTTTAGTAGCCTTTCACAGCGGTTTTTACGAGGGTTTAGGAATTTAGGGCTTGAAAATGCCGGCTCACGCACGGTTTTGTGACTTAGGGATGGGGGTGCGGGGGGTGTTGGGGGGGTATTTCCGTCAGGTCGACTGCTAGAACTCTCCTGCTGCGACGACTACTAGCACTACATAGGACTGCTACGATTACTGCTCGTGCTCCTCTTGCTTCTGCTGCTGCTACAGTTGCTGATGCTGCTGCCACTACAGCGACGACTACTAGCACTACGTAGAACTACGACTGCCCTGCACTCGGATCCTCCAATGAAACCTCAAGGGGGCGGAGGGATCTTCAGGGCTTCTTTCGAATGTCTCTGCATACTTGAATAAGGAAAATATGGTAGAAATCGAATATAACTTAGCCATAGAATATAACTTAGCCATACTTAGGCTCCGATAAATAATTCTTCAATAATGCTCCGAATGCCCTGTATTCCGCGACTTCTCCCTGTCCATAACTCTTGTCATGCTGTCAAACGTGTCCACCAAACTCAAACCACAAACAACCTTTAAAAATAACAAAAAACAAACCACATCAAAACACATCGAACTCACAAAATGCCGTGCCTGCCACGGTGTTCCAAGATATCATTATCGATTCAAATCAAGAAACTCCTTCAAAAATCGAGTTTCGTCCTGCATTGGCGCCTGCGATGAGCCGTCCACGTGTCTGCTCTAAAGCACTTCAAAGCTAGCAAAAATAGCAAATTCCTCGGGTTTCTAACGGTTCGCGCCACATATATAAACTCCTCAGGTGCTCAAGAGCCTCCGCGACATGGTTTTTACGAGCCAAAATGCTCCTGCATTTTTCCTGCTTTTTGTTATTGTCTTGATAAATTGTTGCTCCGACAACGTCGAAGGCTCAATTTTTTCGAGTTTTTCACACTTTCTGCCAAACAAGCGTTTGCGAATAGACCATACAAAGCAAAATCTGTTGGCGTCTGCCTGGCATCAGGACACTGTCATTGGCAGCTGCGCAGAGGCCATTTTTCGAGTTTTAACGCGTTTTGACGCAGAAACGCTGCATTTCCCAACCCGCGCAAATCAGCCAAACAGTTGTGTTGTTCGTGGTATGTGCAATGCAAAACGCTTCCCTGTCCTGCCGCGCGCGCGCGTGAACAAGGCTTCGGAGCGTCATTATAGTTATGGTATAATATACCACAAAACCCCATTCTAATTATCAAGGCCCCTACATTACTCAAATCACTGAATAGGAGTTTTATTGTTTACGTCACGTACGGAATCTGGAACCAGATATACGACAGTCAGTGTAAGGCTGAAAATACTGGACTTGTTGCGAACGATGAGTCAGGCGAACGACGCTGCGGGCAGAGACTCCAATACCCGTTAGTTAAGGAATATGCCTTAAATCATATTAGGGATCCTACTATAGTTTGAGGTATATTCCTGAATTAACGGACATTGGAGTCTCTGGGTCTTTAGGGTGCAGGGTCTACGGCAAGTTTTTTCGAAGTGAGAGACCGAAGCGAGCCTGCCTCTGAAATATGTAGCCGGCTATTAGCCATGACTTCCCTCGGCCATAGGATTCCAATGAGACCCGGTGGTGCTTGTGTGTTCATCGAGTATCGAGTCCTGACTGAGCATGCAAAACAGAACTCCCCAAAGCAGGTTTTGAAGACGGCAATCCTTGCAGCAATCAGTGCCCAAACCTGAGGTGTCACATTGGTCACCAATTCGATTGGAGCCATATCAGGCTGCGTTCGGGGTGTGCGAGTCGACTTTGTGGGAACTGGCTGCTTTTAGCGATCCTTTGCAGAAGGTCTCCAAGCAGCAGTTGACGAGACCGACCTTTACAACGGGGTGGCAATTCTCAACCCCAATTTTCGCGAGCTCCACGTGGCCGAGCAGCCTCCATTTCTTCCTCCTATCGCGGGGGAACCCAGCCCTCAAGTCTTTCATGTGATGTGCTTCCAGACAAAACCCTTGGTTGATGCGAGGTCTCAGCAGTTCAAGGGACTTTGAGGGCCTACGGACAGCCACTGTTCGACGCCTTGGCCAACCCTGGGACTGTCGGTGAGATCTTGAAGGCGCCCGCAAGCCGCCTTTACCAACCACCCGTCTGCCTTCACAAAAGACACCCCATGAGCCCATGATGGGGTTTAGGGTGCACTTGGAGGTTCATGGGTAGTTATAAGTGGGGTTATGAGTCCCCTAATAGGGTTGTAATTAAAATTACCCTACTTATAACTGTCACAAGGAGCCATACCATGATCCCTCCACCGTCACTGACGAGCTGGTGGATGTCCTCCTCAGCCCACTCTTGACACAAGGCCTTCTGACAAAACTTGAGATGAGCGTTCGATCCGGAACCGTCAACTGACATCCAAGCAAAAAGGCTTCGCCTCGCACTGTCAAAGGATCCGCCGACGTCGTCTTCGACACCTTGTCGTACTCAGCTGGACCTTTGCCCGAGCAGTTTCTCGGCGGTGAAGGGGCAAACTTGCTTATCAGAGCAAAGATAAGTTCCTCAGACTCCCGACTCGTTCAATCGTCGTAAGACTTGTCTGGCGGTGGCAATGAGAGCTCCAGACGTGACTAGCTCATTGCTCGCTCGCAACGCTGACGCTCGGAAAGTCGCAAGGCTGTTGGCTGACAAACGCCTCTCGAACGTTCCTGTGTGGGCTGCCGGGCTGCAACAGAGGTGCAGCAACATCGGTGTGATGACACTGCCGTCCATACATTCTGTACAGTAGACTCATGACTCAAATCAGGTATGCTGGGGCGAGGAAGATCCATGGACGCCGGCGCTGCTTGGCTGACCAAAGTGATGAATCCGGGAGCATCGTCCCACAGTTGTCGCATGCAGGCCTCGTGTCAAATCTTTGCGACGGTTCCAGCCGGCACCGGCCTCGACATTCTGGCAAATGTTCCAGCAGGCTGCGACATGCATCAAGACGTGCTGACACAGGTTCAAGATGTTGTGCCGCTTCCAGGCAGGCTTGAATCGCGTTGTAGCTGCCTGCTGGCTCACAGAATGAAAATGAGAAAGCCACTGTTGGTCAGGAGTTGGTCATTGCCCACATGACGAAGCACCTGAAGTGGTAAACTCTTTCCTTGTTGAATTCATCCGGCAATTAAGGTCATGAAACCAAGGACGTTTGTACAGAGTGTTCGCGATTTCAGATCTGCCACCATGGTTGCTGCAAGAAGCAGCATCGTCGTCGTGGCCATGAACTGAGCGATGAAAAAATATCAACGTTGCATCTTCAACGTTGATATAGTTGCTTCATATAAGTGCTTTCATTTCTGTGCGATTTCTTCCCAATCAGATGATCGATCGTTCTTCGCATTGGGAATTTCACTCGAGCTTTTTCGGCTGAGTTTGGTAGTGGTAGCCTCTGGTTTAGAAGGTCGCTTTATCATGCTGGCTTCCCCGTGGCTGGCGGCGAAAGGGCTTGTTCACTGGCTTCTCTCGCAGACGAGTGGAACTGGTGTTGGCTTTGGCTACCGGCTGTGCGACCTTGGAGGATTGAATCTCAGAGCTCGATCTTGCAAGGATCCCTCTTACCCTGTAACCTCTCCTGCCTTGTTGGTTTTCCTCTTCCTTGTCTTCTGTCTCCCCGGTTGGCAGACCCCGTGTTGCGGCAGCAAGCTGATCAGGTCCATGACAGGGAGTCCTCACAGGGCAACCCGACAGAAGCAAGGGTTACTACAGGAGGCATCTCTCGGATGGGAGAGAGGTGCAGACTCGGTGTGTCAAAGATCTTCGCGCAACAGGGGTAATGACAGGGATCGTGCACGTTGGCCAAGCAAACCAACCAGAGTGCGGCTGCTTGTTGCTTTGGCGACACCAGCTGGCAGTGTGGGAGCGTGCTCACCCTCTTTACTTTGACCCTGCATGTTCTTCGACGCAGGAGACTGCTCTATGCGCTCAAAGCAGTGCGCGCGTTGTGTTGCTAGCTCAAGGAGTTTGAACAAGTGCATGGAACAGCGGAGGTGTCATCTTTAGGTCCCTTCTCTGGACCAAATCCGGAACGATCTCCGCAGCCGCCCGAAATCCGCTCTGGTCAACTTCTCTTTTGCCAAATTTCCACCCAAACCGCGATTCAATTCGGCAGGTCTGACCTTTGCTGCAGACAGTTTGATCGCAGGTGCGAGCAGCGCAGAAGAAGTTGAAGCAGAAGCAGAAAAGTTGTGGTCGTAGTAGTGAGTAGTACAGTACCAGTACTTCTACTAGTTCGAGTATTGGTACTAATAGGTAGTAGTAGTGGCGAAGCAGCAGCAGGAGTAGTAGTAGTAGTAGTAGTAGTAGTAGTGATAGTAGTAGTAGTAGTAGTAGTAGTAGTAATAATAATAATAATAATAACAGTAGTAGTACTAGTACTAGTAGTGGTAGTAGTAGTAATAATAGTAGTAGTGGTGCTGGTAGTAGTTAGAGGAGGAGTAGCAGTAGTAGTAGTAGTAGTTTGTCGTAGTAGTAGTAGTAGTAGTAGTCGTAGTTGTAGTAGTAGTAGTAGTAGTAGTAGTAGTAAGGTAGTAGGTAGTAGGTAGTAGGTAGTAGGTAGTAGGTAGTAGGTAGTAGGTAGTAGGTAGTAGGTAGTAGTAGTAGTAGTAGTAGTAGTAGCATTGAGCATTGCACGCAGCGCGGAAGTCCGGTCGCCTAGCGTTGGGACAAGAGCAGGCTTTAAATGCCCGGAGTCTTTGACTCATGATTCGTTGATCACCTCAACAGACACGGCGCACACCGTCCCGTAGGACCTTGTAGCATGTGCGCCGTCCGTACGCACTATTGCCGTTCCTGAACCGAAGCCAATCCGTAAACAAGGACATAGCAATTTTTGTAATGAGAAGCTTTCGGCTCGATCAACGGCTTTGCCGATCTCCCGTCATCGCAGCTCCAAAATCTTTCTGCTTGAAGCAGCGTGGCAGTGTAGTGTCCCGAAGAAGGGTCTTCGATGAAGGCTTGCAATCGATATTTCTGCTGTCGAGTGGAGTGGCCTTCCCCACAGAAAACTGGTACTCGAACTTCCAGATCTGTCATAACCTTGATGTGACTTTTATGGACTCGTCCCCCTCTGTGTTCAAATCTGTGGAGTTGAAGGAGAAGAACCGGGGGCGCGGCACATAGTGCATGAAACCGATCCAGGCATCTGTGCCATTCGTCAAGAAGAGTCTGAACCCTGAGCACCGTCTTACTACGAAGTGGCAAGTGCAATATGATGGGCTGAGAGCAAAGCCCCTCATCCAGACGACGAGATACCCCAGCCATGGCGGGCAATTGTGCCTGCCATGAGCCTGCAAAGAGCCCACAGTCATCGATCTGAAGCAAAAAGGACATGAATTCACATATGTCATGTTGGCGATATGCCTCTCCCCATCCATGTATCAGTGAGCACGACTGCGCATCGTTCATCAGATCTATCCTGGCACCGCTGTCGAGATGTAGCAGTGAGCGGTATAGTACTAGTCCCTGGCCTGTTATCATGTCTTCAGGAACTCGAAGTTGACAGAGAAGCCAAGAAGAACCTGCACTGTGGAGTTCATGTAGCACACGGACGTACGATTGACAAAGACGTACCTGAGAACTCTGGTGGCCGGGGATGTAGACTGTGAAGTCCTTACCGCCGGCCGAAGACCATGTCCCGGAGCCGTTGTTCCTCCGGGCCTCTGCCTAGAGACTGCGTTTTGAATCCCATGCCCACAAGTTGAAAGACTGCATTCCCCTGAAGAGCCCGCATGGTGTCCCACATTGTCAACGCGCTGTGGCTGCGCATCGAGATGTCCATCTTGAACGTGGCCGGGGAGGTCATCGTTTCTGTCATCTTTCGAGTGCAGCAAAAGCGGGTGATTACTACAGCCTTCAGGCACTGAGTGATCGTGGCCAGGTGATCGAGGAGCTGGTCGTCCGGGATGGGTGGCCTGGCCCTGTCGTGTTCCAGATGGCGTAAGGTGCGGTTCCATACCTGGAATCGCCATCCCCTGTCGTCCCTCCAGCCCTGCTCGGTCACGGCCTTGAGCTTCTCCTGTGAGGCCGGGACCTTGTTCAGTCTCTCGATAAGTTCCCGAAAGAGAGCATTGGCCAGCACCATACGGAGCGGGAATTGGCCCAATGACCAGGTCGGTTCCGCTTCTTGCTTTGCTTTGAACTGGACTGCTACCTGATACAAGTGGTGCATGATCGAGTCCTGGCCTGGCTTCAGGAAGATGATAAAGGCTGTGTCTTGACGTAGGAGGCGAAGTTCCTCTTGCTGACGTAGCACCGTTTTTGTTAAAGTATGTAGTAATGGATCTCTGTGCTGCGTCTGCAGTTGGGCCTGGGCATAGTGGTTGAAGGGGCTTCGACCGAATGGATTGTTCTGGTGTCTGTGACCCGCAAAGGGCTCTCGTCTCCTTTTGTTGGGTCCATTGTCCAGAGGGTTCTCCGTCGAATAGTCCTGGAAGGGGTCTGGCGGGAACGGACCCATTGACTGTGATTCCCTGACCCCTCCAAAGAAAGCCGCCATGTCGTCGTCCATCCGTGGTTCCTGCTTGCACAATCAGTTGCACTTTAGGAGGTGCGCCCTCCAGTCCTTGGCCTGTCTCTGGCAGTAGTGGCACTTGATACACGGAGTGGCTCGTTGTTCAATGATGCGACGTGCTGCTTTACTAAGCTGTTTGAACAAATCTCCATGTGTATTCTGGAAATGGAGCTTCGTGACCTTCTGCGAAACAACCCACTGCCCACATATGACACAGTAATGTTGCATGTGTTCCGTATACGAGTGGTACGGAATGAAGCTGTTGGGCCCTTGTTCGACAAGCTGTTGTATGTGTAGTCGTTGTATCATCAGAATCTGTGGCGAAGCTGTCGTTGAGCTGGCTGGTGGCTCCTGTATAATGGTCTCATGAACTTCCGAACATTGAGCCGGACTAGCATTCGCCGGACCGGGCTGTTGTGTCTGAGTACAGGATGGTGCTGGCTTTGGCGGTGATACGGCCTTCTCCACTTGTCCAGACGGCGTGAGTGCCGGACATGCATGATGATTGATGTGCCACTCAAGCGTCTGCCATCTGCTGAACTTTTTCAAGCATCCCGAACACTGTGGAAGACCCGCGACCGAGTGTTTAGTGCGGTCGAAGACCTGAGCCGGGTTGTCAACCAACTTGTGTTTTCTTCTTGCGTGTATTTTCAAAGCTGCTGTCGTAGGAAACTGCTCGAGACATACTGGACATGCCCATGTTTCACAATCTCCATCCGAGTCCAGTGCAGTATGTACCGCTTGGAGGCTCTGGCTGATGGCCTGATTGTACTCATGCTCCAGAATCCAGTCCCCCAACTGAGCTATCTGTAGCTCGTTTTCATGCGCCTGAAGTAGAAGATCATGAGCCGATTTGACCTCATACTGTGTGGAGATCGTGTCGTGGGTACGGCCGGTGAGAAAGGCCTGATCTGAGGTGATGGCCCTGACGTGCTTCATGATAGCGCGTTGTACATGCCGTGTGTGCCCTGGCTGTAGGCAAAGGCAGTGTAAGGCGTACATCATCGTAGACAACACACAGCTTCTCCACAAGCGGAGCTTGTAAGTGATAGACACCCTCTTGGCATGCAGAAGTGATGCCAATGCCCAGCGTCGTTTGTGCGCCTTAGTGACTCGATGTCTTACAGACTGCCATTCGAACTGCTCGTAGGATACAATGAGGCCTAAGTACTCCGCTTTGTCTACCAGCGGGATCCATTCGGAGGGATCGCCCGGCGACAGCAGAAGTCGACGAATGCCATCCTGTTTACGTATGTACAGCTGTTGTATCTTGTGACGAAAGTCCCCTGTGAGGGAGAGAATGGCCTGTGTTTTGTCGCGGTTGATCTTCATTCCCAGTCACCTGAAGACAGCAAATGTCCATTTGAGTTCTTGAATGGCGTGTTCGAACTGGCCTACGGTCTGAAATGTCCAGCGCAGATGGCTGTCATCGGCGTAAAGCGTGGCGTGTTCCGAGCACCACTGCTGCCTCACACGTAAGTCAATGGCTCGGCAAAGTAGAGCTGTGAAGGCCGACCATAGCACCGGACTTCCGATGCATCCCTGTCGCAATCCCCAGCTGGGCCAGATTTCCTTCTCAAGATTCTGATGCTGAAAAATGTACTTGACCTGACTCAGCCACTGCAAGAGGACTTCCTGAATCGAGGGGTCGATTTGTGCCAACTCCAGCGCCTCGCGGATAGTGCACCAGGAGACTGAGTCAAATGCAGCAGTGAGGTTCATGCATACTTGTAGTCCCCCGCTGCTGAGGACTGGCTGTATGCCTGCGTGCTGTTGGTGCACATTAACCCGGTATTTAGCTGCCTGATCTCGCACATGTCGACAATGATTTAGAACTCTCTTTAGCGCAGTGAAAGTGTTCCTATGCGGAACATAAGCGCATTGCGGCCAGCAGTACACAAGCTGATAAATCTGGTCTTTGGCCTTGGTGATGAGGAGCTTCATCAGCCCCTTCCCGATGGAGTGCTGGAGGCCGATTGGCCTCCATTCCAGTGGCTTGTCATTTTTTCGCTTGGGTTTGGGGAGGAGTGCAACAGAGGCATTGGCCCAATCTTGCTCAATGTGGAGCTCGGCTTGTTGCCATTGGGTGTTGACCTGCTGGGCAATGAACGAAGCGACCTCCGAAGAACAAGCCCGCCAGACTACAGATGGTGCAGCCGACCGTGGGACCGCCTTGCGAACTGGAAGATGCTCAAGCTGATACCAAACTTCAGCCACAGAGACCTGAACCGGCTGATGTTTCCGGATGCTTGTTGTGTTGGGCGGTTCTCTGGCTCCATATCTCTCACCAAACGCCTCTATGATCCAATCCAACTCCGCTTCCGGGGCCATAATGTGCCCGTTTCTGTAGAGCTGCAAAGGCTTGCGCTTGACCTTGGGAGCCAGCGTGCGCACAACCTTCCAGACCTGATGCACGTCGCCTCGTTGTGCTGCCAGTTGGGCCGTGTCCAACAGGTCCTGCTTGTGAGCTTTGCTCTTAGCTTTAGCTCGTTGTTTGTGGGCCCTGCGTGCCTGCACGAACTTCGCCCATAATATCCATGCAGTAACCACTCCTTGCGCCGTGAGTGTTTGCGAGCGCATGTTTCGGAACAGCCCCCACATGTACCTGGCCTTGTCGTGGAGCTCCTGCCTGGACGCTTGGTCCGAGGCCCTGGCTACCTGCGCCCGGTAGAGTTTGGTGGCAATATCGAGGATGCCACCCTCTAGCTGTTGTAGGTTTGTCCAACTTTGCGCTGAGATTCCAGTCCGCACCTGTTGGCGAAGGTCAGCAAGTGCCTTGGAAGGTGGAGGGGACCTGATGTCCGCGATCAGCTTTTGTGTGTCGAGCTTGGGTCGTGTAAGTTCAGCTTTCTGTTTGCCCACTAGGTGTGGTACCTCCACTAGGGTGTACACCGGGTGATGTTTCGCTCCGTCTCTCCAGCAGGCCACCGGGAACTGTAGAAGCACTTCAGCTTGTTTGGCTCTGCTGTTGGCTTGCGCTTGCCGACACATGATGTAATCTATCTAAGAAGAGAGCTCCCCAAAGGTGAAGGTGGCGAGCTGCCTGTGGGTTGGTCTGTTCCACGTGTTCAAGACTGATAAAGCGAAAGCTGAGAGGATCGCCATGAGGTCCTCGGATTCCTCGTTGTGTCGCTCCGTGGACAGCATGGTCCATCTGCCACAGACCTTTTCCATGGTTGTGCATGTGGTGTTAAAGTCTCCAGCTAGAACCAGAACATGTCTGTTGGGGACGCCTCGTAGAGTCTTTTGGAGCTTCATGAGGAATTGTTGCCTGCGAATGGGAGTGAGCTTGTGATCGTTGGCCGTATACTGATAGACGTTCATAATGTCGATGGGGTGAGAACTGTTGATTCGGACATGTAGAAGTCTGCCCGGATGTACCGCATGAAATTGGATCTCTGAGGACTTGGCCACCGAGTCGAAATCAAAGTCAGTAGACCCCCGACCTCGTCCTCGGAAGTGGCACCTGCCGAGTGAATAAAATGGAAGTCTGGGGTGCTCCAGTTTGCATCATAGGCCCACCGCGTTTCTTGAAGGACGCAGATGTTCAAAACCTCGTCCTTGGCATAGGTCTCGACCTCACGAAGGACTTGTGCATGGAGCCGTCTTGTGTTCCATGTGAGTACTCTTAGCGACCTCTTTGATTTCGTGAGATCTGGCGGTCGGGGTGTCCTGAGCAGAGAGCTCGTGTTAATCGGTCTGAACCACTGATGTTCCCGCCACACTCCTCGGTAGTACGCCCCTCGATTCCTGCAGGCTCGGGAGAAGGCACGTTTGTACGTGCGTTTGATTCTGGTACTGTCTGCAAAGCTGGGCCATTCGGCCTCCCATGTACCCGCAATCTTTGTCGAATCGACTTCAGGCATCCTAGCGGGGTCGATGCCAACCCTCACCTCTGTGTGCACTGAACGAGCTGCTTGCATGCTAGTCATACAGATCGAGGCAAACAGCAGTCTCGACATGAGTGTCCTGTGCACACGGCCAGACTTGGGACTGGCCCATCCTGAGAAAGACGCGCTGAAGTATCCTGCCAGTATTCGTTGCAAAGTCTGGTATCTGAGAATGATCTGGGTGAGTAAGCCGTCCTGCCGTGTCGCTGTTGGGCTGGAGGGTCTGGTAGAGCCGCCGGGCCTGTGACAGTGCATGCATAGTTTGCCCAAACCTCGATGTACTGAGCCTGCCTTCGTCGAACTGGGTGTGGTTCCCCAGGCGGAATTCAAGAAGGCCGGGGTTCCGTGCCTGGCCGCCATAGAGCTGGGACTGAGGGTAAATGAGGTAGGAGAAGCAGATCAATATCACGTACACGCCGACTGCAAGCACCCTGTGGAGCAGTTCTGTTTTCATCCGAATCAGCTGGCCAGAGAAGGTTTTGCCGTCTTTGTTGTCTTTGAGATTCGCCGCCGTTCAAGGACAGAACAGCACACTCTGGCAGCCTCTGTAATGGCTCCATAGAACCGTCCTCCTAAGCCTAAGCCACTCTCTGCCCTGCTATGCTCAACCAGTTCGGCGTCTCCTGAGTCAAAGTGAAGGGCCCTAGTGTTCATGTGTACATAGCAAATGTGGGACTCAACAGCAGTCCAAGTCCCTATGTAGGACCCGCACTTTCTGCCAGGTGTGGCTTTGGGCTTGGCCGTAGCTGGAGCTTGCCATCCGGGAGGAGGTCCTGGAGGCGGAACCGGCGTTCTGCTCGTCGAGGAAGTAGCCGGAGTTGGTGAGGCTCTTGGTCCGGCGCCAGGTTCAGCAAGTGAGCCGTTTGCCTTGACCGCCATCTCCTCTTCCACATCTTCAGCCATCAGAGCAGCAAAAGCCAGATCGCTCTCCAGCCTGTCGAAGGACTCTTCCACGCTGAGTCTCTCGATCTCGGCAGCCGACATTCTGGCTGGGCCTTCGCGGTTCATTTGTTCCACGATGGTTGCTGACGACGAAGGAGCTTCGGGTCCAATGGTCTCGCGGTCATCCCCGACGAAGATAATGTTCGGGTGCATCTCATCCGCGTGGCGGAGGTGTTCAACTCGAATCGTGAGGGAGGTGAACTGCTGCCAATCGAGAGGGATATGCGTGATGATCCATTGCGGATCCAGGCCTGACTCCCTTAGGGCTTGTCCCACTGCACTTGATATTCGGTGCGGGCCAGACGCCGGTGCGGGAGCATCGTGCATGGCTGACCTTCGTCAACCATGACCTCCGTGCATGCATCCGAGTCGGAGTCGGCCCAACCTGGGGCAAACTGCACATCTATCCAGTGTTTCAGCTGCACTCCCCACATGACATGTACTCGTTCTGCAAACCCAGAGGGGCACCACTCATGGAAGGAGCCAATGCTCCAACTGCCAGCGAGCAACTGTATGAACCTGCGATACAGGATGTGGATGCGCCGGCTGTGTTGTCTGGATCTTCGGCGCTTTCGTATTCTAAGGCGTGCTTGAGGCTTAAGTCTCCAGAGCCTGCTTGTCCTGCCGTGGTCCTGCGGCCCTGTCTGTCCGTCCATGCAGGTTCCTGAGTGAAAGTTCGATCCTGCGGTCACTTGAGAGCTATGGTCTTCGCTGCGCCCTGAACCTGTTGCAGTCGCATTCCCGTTGGTCTCAGTCCATTGTATGAAACTGGATAGTACAGCCGTGCCCAGAGCCATAGCTCAAGTTCGCAGGGTGGATAAGGTGATCTCCTGGCAGCCCATAGTCCTGTAGGTACCCTCCTGCCCTTCTGAGCATGCTCTCCTGCAGTCGTGCCAGCTAGTGCTGTCGTCGTTGGGGGCAATTAAATATTTCGCGGGCATGCTGACTGAGTTGATTAACGGGGATCTTGTTATTGCAGGGATTCCAGATCCGATCATATCCATATGTACCAGACTTCCTGTCACGTGCAGAATGCGGCAGAGTGCCTTCGTCCGGAAATTCATTGTTTTGCCAAGCACACGGACGGCACCTACCCTGCATCGGCGCTTCAGTGCCCTTTCAGCCGAGAGGCTTGTAGTGTCGTAGCAGAAGCAGTAGTAGTAGTAGTAGTAGTAATAGTGGTGGCGGGAGTAACAGTTTGTGGTAGTAGTAGTAGTAGTAATAGTTGTAGAAGTAATATTAATTCTACTACTGTGCCTGAGCAATGATGAGCAATAATCATTCATTGGAGAAGAGAACTTCGCACCCGCTCGTCATGGTTAAGGACACTTTCAAGTCTGCTAGAAGCCAAGCCCTGTCTACGCTGGGATTCGTTTAAATTCTTTATTTAAGTTTGTCTAAGGCAATGAAACATCTGCAAAAATATCGTGTTTCTATTATTTGGAATACTTGAGAGAAGGCAATTTTTTTCGATTGATGCTGAGATTTAATAATAAGGTTTCTAGTAAGAATAAATAATTAGTTCTGTGTTTGGTTTAAGCACAACTTAAACCTAGAACCTTGAAATAAAAAAGTAACTATGGACTCTAGATCACTTGTGTTAATCACCACAAGATGGCAATAGACAGCACCAAATTGAAAATGAAAATAAAAAATATTCGAGCGTAGCTTTCTTACTTGTTCTGGGAATTTGACTCTGAGATTTTGGAATATTAAGCAAAATCAAAAGCATAAAATGGATGAAACTATCTCGTAATAGTGCCTATGAATCTGCGCATTATAAGTTAGATATATTTCAAATGATTACTGATATAATTATTTATAAAAAAATTCATGATATAAACTCTATATAAATAAAATATATATTGCTTTTTTTCAAAAATACTTTTTTATTAATTAGAATTTTTCTTTACGAATGAAGAAATTAAAATTTCTCCAGCCTTCCTTAAAAGAATAAATTTTGTTTTATTGATATTTAAAGTCAAAATTTATCATCAGAAA